CATCCATCCATCCATCCATCCATCCATCCATCCATCCATCCATCCATCCATCCATCCATCCATCCATCCATCCACAGATCGACTGTGTTGCCTCAGTTTAGCTTAAAGTTTAGTTTAAAACAAAGGCAAGAAGGAAAACACTTGCCTGTGCATATGTTTAATTGGTGCATTTTAAATGTGTGTATTTATTTATTTATTGGTCCGTTTTATAGGTTTCTGCTTTTATTTCTAATTATGTCAGTTTCGGTCCTCCTTATGTTTGAAAAGGTTCCATCAACAGAGAGAAGTATTTTCAAGTTTTAGAATAATGTATTGTCTTGTCCAGCAAAAAAAGTCGCAGCGCTCCAGTAACTGATCTCAGTTCTTAGACGTTTAGATCATTTAAAAAAAAAGTGTAATTCTGACATTAAATTCAATATATTTCCTGTGTTTCATGCTGAATAGAAAACAGTTTTATGAGATTTGGTGATCATCACGTTTTGATTCTCTTCATTTTCCTCAATGCCCCAACTTTTTCTGCATTCTGCTTGTATACGTTTAAAGAGCTTTTTTTTAATCGTGTCTTGCACAGCTGGGCCACTCGACACAGTGGTATCTKGTCATCCCAGGCTTCTGCCTGTTTGGCCTCTTCTGGGCCGTCTGCCACGTCATTTTGCTGATCACGACCTGGGGCTTCCACACCAAGCTGAGCGAGTGCCAGAAGGCCTGGCGGGCCCATCAGTCAGGCCGACGGAGCCTGGACCAAGTCATGGCCTCGCGAGGCATCCGGCACTTCTGCCTCATCTCAGAGCGCCTGGTGTTCTTCACCGTGCTGTCGACGGTGATCCTGGGAGCTGTCTCCTGGCAGGTAAGCTGCRTCCAACTGCTCATCGCAGTTTAAATTTAACTAGTTAAGTTGGAACGTGTGTTTAGTCACATTTACTAGTAGCAGTGTGCAGTTATCCATGCTCCCAGTGCTGAGATGATCATAAAATAAATAGAATTGGAAGCTTAAAATTTTTAAATCTGACTGCATAAATTGGAGCGTTAACCTATTTAGTTGGATGCAAATTTGTCAGAGATGGTGAGAGGGAGTGAGTCTGCTAGATTCAATCTATTTAACTCCAATGCATTTTATAAAATAAAATTACAGCAGTGTTGGTATCGTCTGGAAGTCTCAGCAGTAAATATTTATTTTTTGTGTGAAATGCGGTACTCAGATGTACTGACTCGACCTAATRCAGATAATCAAGGCCTCATTATGAGACGCACAACATCCATGCACGTGTGCTGTAAGCGGCAGGTCTTTTTCTCTCTCTAGGTCTGTGTGAAAAATGTGTTTGAAAGTGAGGATTGATGAAAAAGCAGATTATTGATTTTGTACGACTGCACAAGAGAGCCTCCTCTTGTTCAGAAAGTCAGCGTTTGAAGAGCAGAGGTGCTGTTTGGAGTCATTACTCAGCCTGGGAGAGGGGCCGCGGTAGCCTGGCGGTCAGTTCTGCTGTCTCATAAGGTTTGCTGCAGGTTTGAGCCCACATTGCTTCTGGAAGCATAAAACAGTTGCAGAGAATAAAACAGCGACTCAGCCCGGGAGAACCACTGCTGAGCTGCAGTATAAAATCTAACATCTGCCGTTGTTCTGTATTARCACTTCCATTTGTTGTGTTATAAACACAGCAATTAGAAATGTAAGTGGCTCACAGTGTGATGTATGTAACRGACTCCAGTATTTTTGGTGTTTTATTAGTTTTCTGTAATTTGAAAAATAAATAAAACCGGAGTATTTGCATTTCCTGTAAAAAAAAAAAAAAAAAAAGCAGTGTGACTGCGAAAGGTTTTAGCTGAAAGCCGCTGAAAAACTATTAATGTGAGTTAAATTTGGACAGCTGACTTTAGCTGAAAGTAGGAAAACAAAAGTGAAAAATAGCAAAAAAAAAAAAGTGTTTAAAAACAGCTGAAAGGAGCAGAAATGTAGCTAAAATTAGCAGGATATAGTCAACGCTGGCAAAAAAGCTAGCCTAAGGCAGAGGTTCTCAAACTGGGGTCCGCGAGAGGTATCTTGGGGGTCCTCAAAAAATTAGACTAAAATGTTAGTTTGGTTTTTATTTTTGAAAATGCATGGAGAACAATGAACTAATAAAACAAACACAATAAACTTAATAAAAATATATATTCTCATGGCATTTAGGGGTTGAATTGACAATAATGTATCTTTTAAAACAGCATGGGGTTTATGAGGAGGCCCCTGGAATGTTTTTCGTCCTTGTAAGGGGGTCCCCAGACCCAAATGGCTTGAGAACCCCTGGCCTAAGGAGCAGAGAAAATTTAATTTACAAACAAAATATAAAAAAGGCTGAAATTTTGACAAAAGAAGGTAAAATGTAGAAAAATGAAGATGTGGACTGTGACCTTTTATTTTGTGACATCAAAATTGTCCTTGAAAAAGCAYGTTTGCTGACTTAAGCAGAAAGAAGCTAACTTTATCAAAAAAGGTGAATTTTAGCAACAAAACAGCTATAATTAGCTAAAAATAGCTGAAAAGTTGCTAAAAAAGTTGAAATGAGCAGAAAGAGACTGAAGGAGCACATTTGCTTCATTAAGTTAAAAAAATGAAAAGATCACTTTTAGCTGAAGGAAACTCAGTTAAGCAAAAAACAGCTAAAGAGCAACTGAAGTCAGAAAAATACAAACAGCTGCACGAAGCTGAAAGGAGCATAAAAAAGCTTAAATTAACAGTGAAAAGAAGCACAWCAAAGCTGAAATCAGCAGAAAGAAGTTGAAAATAGCTGAACAATGCTAACAGCTAAAATTGTCAACAAGTTGAAAGAAGCTAAAATTAGCACAAAGAAGTTAAAAAAGCAGAATTAGAACAAAAGGTGAAAAATGCGGTGAGGATTTACGGATGTTTTAAAGGTTTTTAAGGATGTTGCAGTCAGCTCCATTCATTTTCAATGAGAAGAGAAAAGGGTGTAAAAAGCCTAATATCTTAAAAAGTATGAATTGCTGAAATGCCAAAAGTTAAAGCTTGTCCTGAAGAAGTGAAACATTGAAATATAAATTGTTAAAAAGCACGAACAAGATGCATGTGGAAGAACAATAGTGTGAATGTTACGTAGCCAAATGGGGGAAAACCTGCAGGTATTGGTCATTATAAATAAATTTTAACAAAATTTAAAAATAAATATAGAACTCTAATTTTTGTAGATGTCTATAGAAATGGTATAAAATATATGTATAAATTTAAAATAGGCTGCATCAAAGTAAATGAGTCTTTCTTGATGCATAACTCAGCATGCATGAAAAGAAGTTAAAGGCACAGTGTGTAGGATTTCGTCAATTCTTTTAGCCAAAATTGAGATAATCACTAATGACTATAATAAAAAAAACATGTCTAATCATTGCAGACAAAGACCTTGTTTTATTATTTTTACCTTATAAAAACCTGTTTATATCTCCATGGTCGCGGATCCCCACTACAGGCAGCCGCCATCTTGCACCGCCATCTTG